CCCCCTTCTTTCCATTTTTCTATTCCTCCTCATCTTCTTCCCCGCATCTCCCTAAAGCTAATCCCTCTAGCTCCCTCAACCACTGCAAAGGAGGAGCCTGGGCCAGGAAGGGGGGGCAGCGGGTTGAAAAGAATGAAAAGGGCCCTATTCTGTCCCCGGCTTGGTGGCAGGCTGGCTCCCGGGCGCCGGCTCCCCCTGGCCTCTCAGAAGACAGATCGCTCCCTTAATCACTCTGGAAAAGAACCCCAAGCCGATATAATATTATAATTAATTAATTCACTAAAAAGGTATTAAATTTCTCTCCCCCCTGTGGATATTATCTGAATTCATTGACCTTTAGAAAAATCACCCTCTAATTGTAACCAGGTTCAAGTGCATTTTCAGCCCGTCCCTTTTACATTAATAATATCTTCCCGGACTCAGCTTTGGCTGCTTAAATATTGTATAAATTCCACTGCCCCCTTGGAAAAGAGAGAGCAAAGAAAAAGAGAGAGGCACAGAGAGCCCAAGTCTGTAGGGGGGTGGGGAAGGAGAGGGACTGGGCTGTACTTTGGGGTGATGGGCCAGACACGAGGGGGTGCAGGTTGAAGGGGATTCTCTCTCTCTCTGTCAAGGATTCATGGACCCTGAAGACTGATCTGGGAAGACAAGGCAGAGAGAGGTTCTGGGGTTGGGATGAGTCTGTGAACCAGGGTTTGGAGACAGGGCACTGAGAAAAAAAGGTCAAGTGGAGGGGTTTGGAGAGTCGTGACTGGGGAGAAAGGGCAGGGCAGGTAACATTATAATAGATAGATCTCTGGCTTCAGGTTCTGATTGTGAATCATTGACTGTATATATGACCCCGGAGAGTCCCTTGACCACTCAGTGCTCTAGGCAACTTTCTAAGACTATAAGGTGCTAATCCTCATTGGGAGGGGAATTTCTCCATACAGGAATTCTGTTTACCAGTGATATAGCATCTGGTCCAGCCCCTATCCCTTCCGTGCCTAACTCTGGGGAGGTCAGTTTACTTGTCTGGGCTTCAAGTTTCTCATCTGTAAGAGGAGAGGGTTACCCATCTAGATGACCCCGGAGGTCTACAATCCAGCTAAAAGCCCAGATTAGGGGTGGGGAACCTTCGGGAACAATAGAGGGATTTGTTCTGTGAAGTTTGGATTCAGTCAAAGGGCCGCACTTGAGGACCTAGAGGGCCACATGGGGCCTCAAGGTTCCCCACCCCTGGCCCAGATGATCACTTGCTGCGGAGGCTGCAGAAGGGATTTGTGCTTCAAGTTGGGGGGGTTCCATTAGTGGGCCTCCAAGCTCCCTCCCAACTCTTGAATTCTGTGACTAAAGTGGAAATGGAGTTGGAAGAATGGATGGGGGAGATGGGGTAGGGGTATGGTCCTGAGCAACACAGAGACTGCAGCATGTCTGGAAGAAGGTGTCTCTATTCCAGAATCAGAGACATTATATGAAAAAATAAGCCCTTGCTCCCTTCTGTCCTTGAAGGGCACCTTGAAGGCAGCTCAACCACAATGGCTGATTGTTATATTTTCAGAGTGAGCACTTACACCTCAGTTCTACAAATTAATGTTTGATTTATTGTTTTGTAGATTGTCTAGACTTAAGAAAGTGATAGAGAAAATGTTAATAATGCAGATCAAACTTGTGTGTCACATATGATCGTATAATGTCATATAATATATAATCGATGTTATATATTATATATGTGTATGTGTGTGTGTGGAGAGCTGATTGTTAAATTTACTAGTACACTCCTGTTAGAGCATCTCCTATTCTAACTGAGGCACCCCAACAGAGATAGATCAGCTTCACCAACAACTCTTCCGTAGACTGAAGGGGACTCAGCAAATGTGAAAGTCGGGTGTTTAACTTCAGTCCCCTGTTCTCATTAGAGCTGGGATGACACAAGGCCAACAACATACTTCCAGGTCAATAACACACTGCTGGGCTCTCATCTTTGACCAACACCTTATGAAATTATGACCTGGGGGAGACATGATGACCTGCTGAGGAGTCCGACATGTATGTGTATGATAAAGAGGTTAACTCACTTCCTAGGGACGGAACTTAGAATGTTAGGGCTGAGAGGGGCCTTAGAGAACATATGGCTCATTTTTACTAAAGAAACTGAAGCCCAGAGAGGGGGAATGATTTGCTAAAGGTCACATAGCGAGTTATCCAGCAGAGCTAAGAGTAGGACCCGGGTTCTCTTTCTAAACCGGGGAACCTTAGATAAGGCCCCAGTTCCCTTGGGGTAGAACATACGTAGAGGTGAGGGGTATATTCATAGATGGAAAAGAAGTGGACTGAAGTGACGGAGAGAAGATGATTGGAAAATAGGCAGGTAGTGATAACACTAAGAGAAGGGAGACCAGGGCTCAGATTTTCCCCCTACAAACACAGATCCCCACTTTGCCTTGGTTTATTTGGATGGTGCTGCCCCCTGATGGAGCCAGAAGATACTGCAGCTCATACAACCTAGTTTTGCCAATACCTCCTCCTGCTTACTGCTTCCTGGTTCTGCCCTATTTTATAAAATGTTCGGGAGGCAGCAGCACCCTCCTGTGGGAAGGCTCTGACACTGCACACTTCAGCTAGGTCCCTCATCGCTAGCATTTAGACATTCCTAGGGCCTCACATTCTTGCCCTGTGTCCTCATCATCTCCCCACCCAGAATTCAGAATTGAAAACTTATAGGCGCAGGACAGGGTCAGATCATACAGTCACATGCCTCAGAGCCCAAGAGAAGGGAAAGAGGGATGAGGAATCAGGGATGATCTGGGAGCTACAGAATCCTGGAATGTAAGCGCTTCAGGGTGGGGGTGGGGGGAGCTGCGTGGAGGCTGTGGTCAGGCAAGAGAGATTATCTAATCCAATCTCTTCATTCTGTAGCTGAAGTAGCTGAAGTCCAGAGAAGACCAGTAACTTGCTCGAAGTCACACACAATTAGTGATAGACTCAGAAGTCTTCGTCCCAGGTACCAGTGTTCCTTCCCAGGACCATGTTGCCTCTCTAGTACTTCACTTACTGTGTGTCCCTTTTTCTGGGACCATCTCTTCTATCTGTCACAGAGACTAAAGACCCTGTCAGCTCAGATTCTATCTAGGAGGCATCTTATCAAACTCTACTGGTACCCAGGGCAAGCAGAAAGTAGATAGAATCAGAGACAGAAACAGAGGCAGGGTCAGACACAGAAAGCAGTGGAGAGAGACAAAAGAGCATTAGATTCTTAAACGAGCAGGAAAGCAGGCTACAGAAAGTCTAAGGGCTCCCCCAATCCCCACCGCCCCACTCCCCAACACCTTCAGTCCTAACACAGATGCACCTGTCTTCACTCAGCCTCCTAGCCTGAGCCATATCCTTGAACTGGACCCTTGCACCCTCAGCAAGGCCTACCTCTAAGGGACTGGACCCTGGCAGCAGGTGTTGCTGGGGCCTGGGGCCAGGCCCACTAATTGGGAGGCTTCAGCTCCCTCACTCTGGCTCTACAAGGTCATCCTCATCTCCGTCTGACCTTCAGACTAATCCTGGGAGCCTCCACCCCAGCCGTCATTAGCACAGGCTGTTCAGCCAGCTCTCTCCCTCTTCACCCCACCCCTCCACCCCCGCCTCGCGCCCCCTTTTCTTCTTTCCCCGTGCACATTAATTGCTCAATGTTGATTTGATCTCCCTATTCCGCACAGAGGAAATTGTCATCTTATTGCTCCATTTTCCTTTTTTTTTTTTTAATTAGGCCCCTCAGCCTCTCAGGGCCCAGCTTGGGGAGGGGTGGGGGTAAGGGACATGGGGGGGGTGCAGTATTTAGGAGGAAACCATTTTGATCTTTTTGTGGATAAAGTATGCAGAAGGGAGTGAGGGGGACCCTAGGCATGGGTTTCATGACAACCCACCCCTCCCCAAATACGCCCTAGCGGTTCCCCATCACATCCAGGACCAGGTCAAGTCTCCACTCCCCACGATTTTCTCCCAGCTCCCTCCTACAGAGCCGAATTATTTCCTACCCAAATAATCCTTTCCTCAATTCCTCAGGGGAATCAAGACAGCTCCCTTGTTTCTGACATAATGGAATGGAGCTGTTTTAGGAGGAAGGACAAAGATTCTGTTCTGGGAAAGAGTGAATGTGGAGAGTGAAAAGTGGATACAGTATCTCCTTCAGAAGGGTTTATATCAAGTGTTGGCGGCCTTTTGAGAGAGGGGGAAGGGCAGTTGGGAAAACCAGGAATGGCCTGTCTTTGAGAGGTGGGGCAGAGAGGAAAATCTCAAATAGGTTGATAGCCTTGGACTTCCAGTTGAGGGCTGGTAGTAGGGTAACACTATCTATTCCCTCCCCATTATGGGAAGGGGCTCATTGGAAGAAGTGATTTCCTCACTACCACCACCCCCTCACCCCTCTAAACATCCCCAGAAGATAAACTGAGTTGGGTCAGTTATTTCCCAGTAAAGGAGCATCAGAGGGTAGAATTAGTTTAGCGTGGTCCCAAGCTGCATTTCCCCCCTTTTCCTCTTTATCCCATCCAGCAACATCTGGAGTTGCAAGACATAGAAGCAGCGCCATCTTGTGGCTACATTGGGGGAAAGCATCCACTAGTCTCAAATTCCTGCCAGTCACAGGGTGCTGGCGTGGCTGAGAATTGGGGAGTGGGGTTGGGAAAGGACTGGACATAGGACAGAAGGAAAGTCGCTAGGGCCAGGAGCATGCCGTGGGTCACTGACCCTGTCCTCTGTCCCTATTCCCTTCCCACTCCTATTTTCATAAACGAGAGTTTTGAAGCCCAATACCCAGAAGAGGGAATTCCACATGTGTTCCCCACCCTCCTCTCTAGTCAGTTTCTCCTCCTTTCCAGCCCGGCCCCAGAGAGATGAGGAGCAGATTTTGCCCTGCCAAAGGCCCCCAGAGACACAGCACACAGGGGATATACAAAGCAAAGTGTTTACTAAGGCACAAGGCGGAGGAGGCCAGAGCCTGGCTGCCCCCCCTGACAGCGCACCCTCGCCCCAATCCCACCCCCTGCCCTGGTACCAGCCCCCATTAAGGAGCTGCCCCTGCAGAGGAGCAACTACTGGTCTCCTCTGCGGCCCCGCCCTCACAAGGTCCTGGGAAAGGAGGCAGTTAGCACCAAAGTGGGGGGCCACTCCAGGTCTGTGGCAAGAGGTGAGGGGAGCACTGGGCTCCGGTCCCTCTCTGTGGGGGGGTCTCAAGATACTGATCTCCACGGAACCAGGGCATTGCTGAACCATCGGTGGGGACTAAGGGTGGGGAACAGAAGACCCTCCCAGGAGATGCTTCTGCTCTTCTCCCTCTACATATGCACATTCTCCTTACAGCCTGGTTGGGGGGAAGGGGCCAGGGTAGGAGCTGTAAGCCCCTTTAGAACTCCTGGTAGGCCGCCACCTAGCATGGCTGGGCCTCTTCTCCCACACTAGACACCCCACCCCATCTAAGCTGATCTCAGACCTCAGGGCTAGCCCTTCAGGTCTCTGTGCAAGGGCAACTCCCGCCCACTCTGGCCTACTCCATTCCCCAGAGAGGGGGAATGGGAGGGGAAGAGTGCTATGGGGAACTATGGGGTTCTAGGGGCCAGGCTGGCGCCCCATGAGATATCCGGCACCCCGTGAGAGCTCCAGCTCCCAGTCCCTTGAAGCACGTCCTGCATGTCAGGGGCCTGGCTGGGCTGGGAGGCCTAGAGTTGGGAGCACAGGGTTCGGAAGAGTGGGGGAGCAAGGAGTGGGGGAGCCAGTGTCCACACAGGTTGCTAATCACACACGAGTGCAGATTGGAGGGAGGTGAGAGGAAGGGAGGACTCCCCTTCACACATCCCTAACTCCCAACCCCCCAGGGCTTGTCCCTCCTCCCCAGCTCTGGGGGGTGGGAGGGGGGTGGCTGGGGTCACAGCATGTCCCCTTCCTCCATGCTGAAGCTGCTACGCCGGCTGCTGGCCTTGGAGGCCTCAGGTGACATGCTGGAGAAGAGGGGGTCAGAGGCCAAGGGCAACATGGTGTCATCCAGAAGCATCAGATGGTCCAGCTCCTTCTTGGACAGGGAGGGGAAGAGGGAGCCATGCTCGGGCCCCAGGGGGTCAGGGAAACCCTGGGGCCCCTCACCCCCACCGAAACTCAAGTTTTGGCTGAAGTCCACTTGGTATGGAGACTGCGGTGGTAGTGGCGGGGGTGGCGGTGGTGGTTGAGGAGGCAAGGTCAGAGAAGGCTCTTGGTCAGGGAGCTCAGCAGTGGGGAGCAAGGGCTCCCCCAGGCCGTCCTCACTGGGGAGCTCTTGTTTCACCACCTGCTGGGCCAATTCAGCCATGTTAACACCAGATGGGGAAGCTGTGGGTAAGCCATGGACTCGGGCCTGCATCTCCAGCTCCTGTGAGAAATGAGAAAGAGAGGTGAGATTGGGGGAGCACACCCCAGACACCAGTCCTGGCTTCCACGGAATGTCACAGATAGAAGGGGCTTTAGGATGAGTACGATGGAAAGAGCCACAGGACATGGGCTCAAATCCCATCTCTGACATTCATATCTGCAAGACCTTGGACAAGTCATCAGTCACCTCTCTTAGTTTCCTCATCCGTAAAATGACAGGGCTGGGGGGTCTAGAGGGCTTGTGAAGTCCCCACCATCTCTAGATATGTGGTCCTAGTCCATGTGATTCTAGTTTAAGTAAGAGAGGAAAAAACAAAGTCCCAGAGAAGGAAGGTGATTTGGCCAAGGTCACACAGCCACTAAGCACCAGAGCCAGGACTAGAATCCATATCTCCAAATTCTAGGCCTGGTGCCTGCCTGCCCCACTCCCACCCATGTTCCCTGCGGATCTCCCAGGAGGTCTCAGGCTAAAGGCCCACATTTTGGAGATCATTAGATTCTCCAGCCCAGTGTTAAAGGTCAGGAGGTCAGACCTGAATGCGAAGCCACAGCTGCTTGTTTGTCATCTCCAGGCGCCGAGAGTGGTTCTCCAGGTCCCTGGATTTCTGCAGATCCTTCTGCATCCGACGGATGTAATCCACCGAGGCCTTCAGGATAGTCCCCTTGTTCCAGCGTACGTCCCTGAAACAAGAAATGGTCACACACCACCACTTTTGCACTCCCTGGTCTTCTCTAGAAGACACTTCTTTTTCTTTTTTTCTTTTTTTTTTTTTGGATAGGCAATGGGGTTAAGTGACTTGCCCAGGGTCACACAGTTAGTAAGTGTTATGTGTCTGAGGCCGGATTTGAACTCAGGTCCTCCTGAATCCAGGGCCGGTGCTCGGTGCTCTATCTACTGCACCCCCTAGCTGCCCCTAGAAGACACTTCTAATCCCTGCTTCCAGTTCCCACCCCCAGGGAGGGGCAGAGAACCAGGACTCTGCCCCTGCTGCATCTAGACTACTGTAATAGCCTCTTACCTGGTCTCCCTGCCTCTAATCTCTTCCTTCCCAAAACCATATAGCGGGACAGTTTAATCTTCCTAAAGTAGATATGACTTTGTCTGTCTCTTGCTCAAAATTCTACGGACTTTAGTATCAAGGCCAAATCTTCAATCCCCTCGAGAGCTTGGCTCAGAACTCCCTCTCCAGTCTTTCTTCCCATTACTGTCCTACCTTACACAGGCCTTGTGCACTCTAGGCCCTGTACTTTTGCTCAGATTGTTCCTACCCTAACTCCTTCTGCCATTGCTCCAAGTCCCACCCCCTCCACGAAGCCTTTCCTGACTACCCTGCTAGATCTCTCCCTCCTGTGAACAGAATTAATAATCTTTACATAGGGCTCACTGTATGCCAGGCATTGTGCTAAACAATTTTACAAATATTATTTCACTTGATTGGTGTGAGCAATAACCCTGGGAAATAGGTACTGCTATTATTTGCATTTTACAGGTGAGGAAACTGAGGCAAACACGGTAAATGACTTGCCCAGGGTCACACAGCTAGTAAGTGTCCGAGGTCAGATTTGGACTCATGATGAGAAGTCTTCCTGACTCCAGGGTACTCTATCCACTGTGCCATCTAGCTTCCCCCTATGGCTTACTTGGGTACCACTCTCTAGGCACTGAGCTTCCACAACCTGGCATGGTAGGAATTTGTAGTGAGTGTTGGCTCTCCCAACTAAAGTGTAAGCTCTGTGAGGGCAGAGATGGTGCCTCATTCTTTGTATTCCCCATAATCGGGTACCGTGTCCTTCATAGTCCTTGCCTCATCAATGACGGTTGAATGCCTTAATCTTATTGCTGTGATAATACTAAGCTCACACTTGATCAACACACATTGTTGATGGTCATTATCATCTTTTTTTTTTAATCTACCCAGGACTTTGCCCGGCCCACTCAGATCTGGGTCCTGTTCCCTGATCTTTTAGTTTTCTTTTCACAAAATCCTTGAGAAGTCCTGATTTTTTGTGGATTTTCCTGTTTATAAAATTCATTCCCTACAGCAATCCTATAAGCATGTAGTTTTCATTTGCCAAAAAAGGAAACTGAGACCCAGAAAGATAAAATGATTTAGCTAAGGTTCTATAACTAGTGATAGGCAGGGGCAGGATCAAAAATCAGACCCTAGGGATCCTGATGCTTGGTTTTCTATCCCATGCAGCATCACACAAGGTCAAGCCCTTGGCACACAGTAGGTCTGCAGGACATCACAGCTCCCTGATTAGCTGGTGCTCTCCTAACTCCTGACTTCTCTAACTTCACTCCCACTTCCCCAAGTCTGAACTCACAGGTCATTGGCCTTGGGAATCAGCATGCCCAGCTCTTTGATTCGGTCATTGATGTTGAATCTTCGTCTTCTTTCAACTAAGAGTGAAAGACAGGTGGGAGGTGGGGGAGGGAGAGACAAACGGTTAAGGAGAAGCAGGGCACCTACCTTCACCTTGGGGCCCCAGGGTCTGACCTCGGGAATCCCTGAAGCCAGAGAGGAAGCACAGCCCTAAGGCCCAGATGAGACACAGCCACTCTCCATCTCTCAGATAACAGGATCATGGATTTGTAGCTAGCCGCTGAGTCCAATACTCTTATTTTATGGATGAGGAAACACGATCTGAGAGAGGCGAAGTAGCTTGCCCAGAGTCACGTAGCTAGTAAGTGTCTGAGGCAGAATTTGAACTCAGGTCTTCTTGATGCAAGGTCCAGAACGCTATCCATCATGGCTCCCAGCTATACATCCCATAGAGGTTATAGGTCACAGGGCTAGAACTGAAAGAAACCCCAGAGGCTATCTGGTCCAACTCCCTCATTTTGCAAATTTGGAAACTGAAGCTCAGGGAGGTTGTGACTTGACCATAGTCACACAAGTAACAATCACCAAAAGTGGGATTTGAACCCAGGATCTCTGCTTCCAGGGCCAGGGCTCCTTTCCTGGTACTACATGATGATACTCCAGAGTTAAAGAACTCATTACCTTCACAAAGAAGTAGAAGTAGTGCTCTAATTCTTTGGAAGTTTTTCCTTACACTGATCTGAACTGAAATGTTTCTTCTCTTTTCTCTCCTTGGCCTCCAGTCTAGGGCCTGAGTTTAAGAGGGGTAGAGGTAAGGAAGAGACCACAGTTCAGAGTAGAGTCATATTCTGTGACCTTGCTCCAATCCCACAGCAAATACCTCCACAAAAGGAGGGACTAGGGGACAAGGGAGTTAGATGGGTAAGGGGTCTCCATACAGGCTGTTGGAGCAGGTAGAAGGGGAAAGGAAGACTGGACAGGAGGCATATAGGGGCAGGGTTGTTGTTGAGTCATTTCAGTTGTGTCTGATTCTTTGTGACCCCATCTGGGATTTATACTGAAGAGGTTTGCATTTCCTTCTCCAGCTCATTTTATAGATGAAGAAACTAAGGCAAACAGGGTTCAGTGACTTGGCCAGGGTCAGATAGGTAGTAAGTGTCTGAGTTCAGATTTGAACTTAGGAAGATGAGTCTTCCTAAACCCAGGCCCAGCATTCTATCCGCTGCACCACCTAACTGCTCAGGGGCAAGGCTGACCCTAGGCAAAACTGTTTAGTAGGTAAAGTATCTTCAGCTACCCCCTGTGACCTCACCCCTCACTTCAGGGTATTTTGTTTCCCTTTCAGCATAGACTCATAGAATGTCAGAGCTAGAAGAGTACTGGCAAATCATCTGGTACAAACCCTTCATTTTATAAGTGCAGCCCATAAGGGGGCAGTGACTTGCCCAAGGTCATACACTTAATTAACTAGAGAGATGGAATTACAAACCACTCCTCCTAACTCTTAACCTAGTGCTTTTCACCCCACAGTAGGACCCCTTCCCTCATGAAGCCCAGGGTGTTTATGTTACTGCCTCTTTTCTGTCCTCTAAGATAGGAGGAAGTCATCTGACACTCTAATTTGAACTAAAGTATAAAGGCCTTAAATTATCACACCTCAAAGGGACATTGGCCTTTAAAAAAAAAAAAAAAAAGACCCGAGAGAGACGGTTATGCTTAGCCCTAAGGCTGTGGTGAAGATTCAAATTTCAGGCCTGGATGGGGGAAGGGACTTGGCAGGGAAGGGATCTTCCTCTTGTTTTGTTTTCTTTTTTTAATAAAAATCAAACCATGGAGCATAGCAGAGAATAATGGAAAAGGACCTCTGGAGTTAGAGGGATTCAGGTTCAAATTCTGCCTCTGGTACTTACCAGCTCTGTGACCTTGGGTACTCCCTAGACCTCAGTTTCCTCATCTGTAAAATGAGGGAGTTAGACTAGTCTTTGAGGTCCCTTGCAGCTCCAGACCTATGCATGATCTTATGATCTTATACACCTACTTAGACTGCTCATGAAGCTGGCTAGCCTCCCACCACAGGCCAGACTGAAGTGGTGCATCCAGAAGTAACATCAGGAAGTAGGAACATATGCTTCTGGATGGATGAAACAGGGTAGGAAGTGGGTAGCAGAGAGTGAGAAAGGGATCGGCAGGACTTACTAAGGTTGTGATTGTCTTTCTTCTGTCGCTCCTTGGCCAAGGCCCGGCTCTCAGCATCTATGACCAGAGGGGAGAGGAGAGAGAAAACGGTAATCAGTAGCAAAACTGAGCACGGGTGCAGGGGTGGGAAGGAGGAGGGAGACAAGGTAGGGAAGGGATTTAGGAGGCAGAGTGGGTCTTAAACCTGTGAGCTCTCTCTTCTGGGCCAAGTCAGCAGGGCAGGAGCTGCTAGTGACACCTACAAGGGAGGCCGTGACCTGGGGGTCTCCACTGTACACTGTCAGGTGGCTGCTAGACAGAGGCAGCTGTGGGATAAAGAGAAGAAAGAGAGACCTGGGTGAGAACTTCCTTCATCAGAGACTCGGGAAGGGACAGCAAGGGCTCTTTACCCTGGGGAGGCCATCTCAGGAGAGGAGGAAGCTGGAAGTAACCAAAGATGACTTCAGAGAATCAATAGGGAAAATCATGCCTCCTCAGCAGAGAGGTGGTGGACTTCAGGTATGGAATGAGGCATACATTTTCAGACGTGGCCAATGTGTTGAATTTGTTTTTACTTAACTGTGCTTATGTACTACAAGGGATTGGGACCAGAGGAAGAGAGGGAAGTCATTTGAAAGTGCCAGTAATAGGAAAAAAGGAAGGAAGGAAGAAAGAGAATATCAGTAAAGTATTGAGAGAGACAGACAGAGAGAGAGGAGAGAGACAGGGAGAGACAGAGAGACAGACAGCAAGAGAGACAGAAAGACAGAGAGACAGATAGAGAGAGAGAGAGGAGAGGCAGAGAGAGACAGAGGAGAGACAGAAAGAGAGAAAGAGGAGAGAGGCAGAGAGAGATAGAGAAAGAGAGACAGAGAGAGAGAAACAGAGAGAGAGACACAGAGAGGAGTGAGTTAGACAAGATCATTTTAGGGAAAGTCACAACAACCCAAACCTGGATCTCAGTCTTCTTTTAAGAATCTAAAATTTCATAAATAAATAATGATTTTTTAAAAAAAGAAAAGGTGGAAAAAGTAAACAACAACAACAAAAAAATAATCTAAGATTTCAGAATTAGTGCCTGCAAAGTGAATAAACTGGTGCCCCCAGATTGGAGAATGGCTGAATAAATTGTAGGACACGAATACAAAGAAATTATACTGCTCCAGGAACAGCTAAGTGGTGCAGTAGATAGAGCACCCGCCCTGAAGTCAGGAGGATCTGAGTTCAAATCTAGCTTTAGAGACTTGACTTTAGAGATGAGCTGTCTGACCTTGGGCAAGTCACTTAACCCCAATTGCCTAAAAAAAAAAATTATACTACTCCATAAAAAATGAAAAATAAGAGGAACCTGAGAAACATGAGAAGACATATATGAACTGATGGAGAAAAAAAAAGCAAAGTTAGGAGAACAATATGCACAATGATAACAATCATAAATTGAAGATTACACTAAAAGTCTGTGGAACTCAACTGAAATGCAATGACCAATGTGGTCCTAAAGGGCAGAAGAGGAAACACACTTCCCTCCTCTTGATAGAGGGGTGGGGGACTACAGGCACAGGACGTTGCATGTGCTGTCAGGCACGCCTGCTGTATCAGTAGATCTGGCCTAATTATTTTTCCTTTTTCACAAGGGAGAGTTCGTGGGCACCTTTATTTCTGTTTTTGACCTCTCTGTCATTGTTGCTCAGTAAAGGAAGCTCCAGGTCTGTGGGTTTGAACTAAGTCACTTTCCAGGGACTTAGCTCTAAAATCTTCAGGGTGGTTGTTGTTGGTGTGTCTGTGTGTGCATGTGTATGTGCATGGGGGAGGGGAGTAGAGGAGGAAGTAACTGGTATAAAAAACAATAACCAGTAAAACAAACAAACAAAAAAAGAATTCAGTGTCTAAGTCACCTTTATACTGGATTTCTAGCCTTTACTTTAAACCCCAAGATTCGGAGGCCTTCTGATTATATTGTCACACTCATGTAGTTCACAGACAGGCATACATGCTCAGCCAGGGACACAGAACAGGTATAAATGTACACATACATATACATGTACACACACACACACACACACACACACACACACACACATTCTCATTCACTCACTTTCCAGCTTTCTCAAACTCTCCTGGTTTTCAGCTTGGGCCCAAACCAGCCCAAGCCAGCTCTGGGCTGCTAACCTACTGAGCCTGACTACTTCCAGAAGAAATCAGATTTTCCCTTCACTGGCATGGGCCAGGGGCCAGGAAGCCTGGGGACAACCAGTTCAGCCAGGTGCCAAAGCTTAGGCAGCAGGGATGAGATGGGGAGACCTGTGAGGGAGGGGCAGGAATACTCCCGGAGGAAGGGGAGAACCCCAAAACCTCACCTTGCTGGGGTGGTTGCTATTTTATCAAACCCTTTCAAATCCTGCTCTTTTTTGAGCCTCACAAATCCCCTGTGGGGTAGGCTAGGCAGGTTGATATGATTTACTGCCATTTTACAGATAAGAAAATTGAGTTACAAACAGTCCCTTGCCCAGGGTCACAGAGGGAGTTAGTGTCAGAGCTGGGGCTGGAACTCAAGCCTCCCAAATCCTAAGCCAGGATTCTTCCCAGACTTTACCCCACTGTACTGCCTCTCTTAAGGATCCAGGCCTCCCTGGATGTCTGAAGGAACTTTCACCAGCTCAGGTGCCTGAGGGTCTGTTCCTCTGGACTGGGCGGGCCCATGCCCCCCTCCTCCCACAAAGAGAAGAACACCTGCACCCACCCATCCACCCAGCCAGGAAGAGACAATTACTGCACTCCCCATCCGAAAACATGGCAGGGCCAGTCTTCTCTGTCCCAAAGAAACACAGTACTTAATTCTGCCTCCATGTCTTTGTTCATGCTGTCCCCCTTTAACCCCAAATCTCTCCCTTGCCCCCTTCCTCCCTGACTCTCCAAACCCTCCCTCTCCTTCAGGGCTGGATTCCAATCCTACCTCCTCTGGGAAGGCCTCCTCCTGGTCTCCTCCAGTGTTCATTGAGTTTCCTCTCCTCTTAATTCTTGTAGTATTTATAGACTGGGCCATATAATCAGCCACTTAATTATATTTTGTATCTTTCTGTTTGTCTCGTGTGTGTGTGTGTGTGTGTGTGTGTGTGTGTGTGTGTGTGTGTGTG